CGCCTGGGTGGCTCAGTCGGTTAAGCGTCCGACTTCAGCTCAGGTCACGATCTCGAGGTCCGCGAGTTGGAGCCCGGGGCTCTGGGCTGGTGGCTCAGAGCCTGGAGCCTGCTTCCGATTCTGTGTCTCCCTCTCTCTCTGCCCCTCCCCCATTCATGCTGTGTCTCTCTCTGTCTCAAAAATAAACGTTAAAAAAAAAAAAATTAAAAAAACAATTTTTTTTTAATGTTCAGACAAAGCATGAGCAGGGGAGAGGCAGAGAGAGAAGGAGACACAGAATCTGAAGCAGGCTCCAGGCTGTGAGCTGTCTGCACAGAGCCGGATGTGGGCCTCGAACTCATGCACCGTGAGATCATGACCTGAGCCAAGGTGGGCCGCTCAACCGACTGAGCCACCCAGGCCCTCCAAGATAAATACACTCTTAATCCCTTTCACTTATTTCACCCATGTCCTCACTCACCTCCCGTCTGGTAACCATCTGTTCCCTATAGTTAAGCATCTATTTTTTGGGAGCACATGGGTGGCTCAGTCAGTTAAGTGTCTGACTCTTGATTTTGGTTCAGGTCATGAGCTCACGGTTCGTGAGATTGAGCCCCATGTCCACAGAGCCTGCTTGGGATTCTGTCTCTCCCTCTCTCTGTCCCTCCCTGCACATACACGTGTAAACACGCTCTCCCTCAGGATAAATAAACGAGCATTAAAAAATGAATCTGCTTTTTGTTCGTCTCTTTACTTTTCTTTTGTTCCTTTGGTTTTGTTTCTTAAATTCCACATATGAGTGAAATCATATGGTATTTTTCTTTCTTTGCTTTTAAATATCTGGGTTGCACAAGGCCACTAATAGATAAGACACGTGGAATTTACCTTTAACTCTAAAATGGAAAGGTAATGGAGTAAGTAATTGTAAATTTAGTGTATTGACATATAATCAGGATTAAATAATTTGATGCATTAAATAACTGGATACACCTAATAAAAAATAAAATCTTCAAAAACTGTTTGCTGCGGGGCGCCTGGGTGGCGCAGTCGGTTAAGCGTCCGACTTCAGCCAGGTCACGATCTCGCGGTCCGGGAGTTCGAGCCCCGCGTCAGGCTCTGGGCTGATGGCTCAGAGCCTGGAGCCTGTTTCCGATTCTGTGTCTCCCTCTCTCTCTGCCCCTCCCCCGTTCATGCTCTGTCTCTCTCTGTCCCAAAAATAAATAAACGTTGAAAAAAAATTTTTTTAAAACAAAAAAACAAAAAACAAAAACTGTTTGCTGCTATTTTGTTATCATAAACAGTATCACTGTCACCATTACCATCTTTAATGGAAATGTTATAAGCTTACAGATAAAGAAAAGATAGAACAAGTAATAATCCACCGTGGTCATCCTCGGTTTAAAGATTTCTCAGTGTGACATTTGCTCAGGATTACCTCCGGACAGAAACCCCGAGTAGAGTGATTGCTTATCACTTTCTCTGCCTAAACTTGAACTTTGCAAAATAAAGACGAAGAGGGGACACTCGTTTGAAACTGGTCAACATACGCAGCAGTCTCTTGTCTAGTTTGAAAGTTGGGGACAAAGATTTGATTTTACTTTGGAGTCTCCCATGTTCCAGGTGATCCGTATTTCTTTTTTAATATTTTTATGATTCCACAGAGAATGATCTATTCTTGCCATTCTGTTACCAACAAGAAAATCTTTTATACATTGATGAAGCAAAAATAAAGCTACAGAGATTTAAATTAACATTACTTATTTAAGAAAGAAGCTGTGAGGTTGCTTAGAGAAAACGGTTATAGAAATAAAAGCCTCACCTACTAGCAAATCAGTAAAGGCCACCTGGAGAGACTTTTCTTCTTTTTAATCTCACCTTTAGAGAGCATCTCTCCTGGTTATATGGGAAGTGTATCAGAAAAGCCTACCCCATGGAGTACTATCAGCTTCAAAATAGAGAAAGCCTCACAAAACTTCCTTAGTTGAAGGAAGTTCTTTAGTAGAAGGACACACAGGGTAAAACCACTTCTTTCATCATCATGGGACTCTTCACACATCTATCCGACCATTTCATTTCCAGAAACTTTATTCACAAAAGGTATCTATGCCCTGTCCCTCATTTTATTTAGGAAGGCGTCTAGAGCTCTTGAACTATCTGTTCTCTAAGGCTGGTAAGATGTTATTGGTGTGCCTAGTGTTTTAAGAAAGGTAGCATTGTTGAAATCTAAGTAGGCAGGTCTATAGTCCAGATTTTAAGACATTAGTAATTCTTTATTCAATTCATCCACTAAGACATTAGTCTGAATCTCAGCTTTGACATTTGCTGTGTAATATATGCAATGCCTTGCAGAATCATATTCCTTGTTTGAAAAATAAGGATGATGTATTTAGCATATCACACAACTATGGAAGAGTGTATTAGAAAGCACTTGATAATGTACATATAGGAACATATAAAAGTAAGTTGTTTTTATTTTTAGTAACTAGAAGAAAATCCCATCAAATACCACCAGAGTGCCTTGAAGCTGCATGCCCAGAAAACTGGATTGGTTTCCAAAGAAAGTGTTTCTATTTTTCTGATGACCTCAAAAATTGGACATTCAGCCAGAGGTTTTGTGTCTCACATGGCGCTGATCTTGTTCAGATTGAAACCCTCCAGGAACTGGTAAGAAAATAGTTCTGTCTAGAATAAAATAATGTGCCCCATCAATACACTACGCAATTCTATGTGAGAATGTCTGAGGTGCAGGTTTAGACACTTGCCTAGACATTGATTATTTTAACATAAGGAGAGAAAACCAGCAGGTGCTACATTCTGCAGCGGATCATCTACAGTTACCTTAACATTCATAGCAGGAAAGTGGCCAGAGAGCAAGACAGTGCTTTCTTTGACTAATGAGCAAGAACTGTGCAAACAGAATTAGAAAATTAAACAGGGAAACATAATTTTAAATCTGCATGAAGTTAACGTTGCTTCAAAATAAATCAGGCAGGAGTGATGTCAGAGAAGATGGCAGAGTAGGAAGCTTTGAAATCTGTACCTACACCTAAACAACTATTGGACTGGCAGAAACTCTCAATGAATCTGGAGCTCTGGAGTCTTGCAGCATCCAAGGGATAACTTAATGAAGAGGTTAGTAGATTTCAGTTAATCTCCATGAATTTCAGCCTTCCCACTCAGTGGTTACCATTCCCCATACACCATCATGTCCTGCGGCCATGGGGACTCCTGACCACGTTCCTGGTAAAGCTTGCTGGAGCCAGGATGGTGAATAAGAACATTGTGCTTCAAATATTGTGGTTATGTGGTGTTATTTGTTATTGCTGCTTTTCTTTGCTGAGGGACAGACACAGAGGTGGGCTGCCATTTTTCATTCAACTCCTACCAAAGGAAGTGATTTTCAGAACATTTAAAGAAACAGTACTTGTTTCCCCCCCCCCCTTTTGGGAGCTAGACATTTAAGAAAACCTGTGGCAGTTAACTGGCTGACCATAAAAATAACAGAATAGAAATTTCAGTGACCACACACAGTAGGTAATGCACATTTTGCAAAAATTGTTTGGAAAAGTCACAACCAGATGGCTCTGAATGTCAGTAATCGAAATTCAACAATCACTGAAGAAAAGAGATATATTCCCAGAGTTAACACAATAAAGTATTCATAATGTCCAGGTTTTAACAAAGAAATTACAAAACATATAAAGGAATAGGAAGGCATAGCTTATTCGCAGGAAGAAATATCTGACAGAAACCATCTGTGAGGGAGTCCAGACATTTGAAATATAGTCAAAGATGGTAAATCTATTGTATTTAATATGTTCAATGAGCTAAGGGAAACCATACACCAAAAAAGTAGAAGAAATCAGGAAAAATGATATGTAAATAAAGTAAGAATATCAATAAAGTGGTAGAAATTATTAAAAGGAACCAAATAGAAATTCTGGACCTGAAAAGTATAATAATTGAAATGAAAAACTCACTAGAGGAGTCAAAAGAATATTTGAACAGGAAGAAGAAAGAGTCAGCAAACTTGAAGATAAGAAAGTTGAAAGTATCCTCTCTAGCAATAGAAAGAAAATTTAAAAATAAAAACAAACATCCTGAAAGAACTGTAGTATACCGCCAAGCAAACCAACATATACATTGTGGGAATCCTAGATGGAAAAGAGAAAAAGAAGTAGAAAAAATATGTAAAGAAATAATGGACAGAAACTTCCCAAAGTTGAGGAAAAAGATGAATACACATGTCCAGATTCTCAACAAACTCCAAGCAGGATAAATTCAAAGAAAAGTACATGAAGACTAAAATTAGAGTCAAGTTATCAAAGCCTAAAGAGAGAAGTTTGAAAGCAGCAAGAGAAGGGACTAGTCGTGTACCTAGGATCCTCAATAAAATTAACAGTTGATTTATCCTGAGATAGCATAGAATCCAGAAAACAGTAAAATGACGTATTTTAAATTCTAAAAAAACCCTGCCAGTCTAGAATTCTGTATGTGTCCAAACTATCTTTAATAATGGGAAAAAATTTAAGATACTTCTAAAAGAAGAGCAGCTAAGTGAGTTTCTTATCAGTAGTCCCATCCTATAAACAATGATAAAGGCTGAAATTAAAGTGCATTAGATAGTAACTCAGAGCCAAAGGAAGAAACAACACTCATAAAAGTAACCACATAGATCAATATAAAAGCCAGAATTAATATACTTTTGGTTTACTTTGTAACTTATCTCCTTTCATATATGATTTAGCAGGTGAATTCATAATACAATAATTATAAATCTATGTTAATGGGTATGTAGCATATACATATATAGTCTATGACAATATAATGAAGAGAGGGTTGGAGATGGGGCAAAATGTTCATTTGCCATTATAACCAAGTTCATATTGTAAACTATGTTGTTATAAGTTTAAAATGTTAATGGCAATCCCCAAGGTAACCACTAATAAAATTACTAAAATATATGCAGTAAAAGAAGGAGGGAATAAAAATGGTACTTAAAAAAATCAATTGAATAAAAATCACAATAGTAGAGGAATTAGAGAATAAAAAACATATAAGACATATAAAAAATAAATAAATGGTAGAACTAAGTCTTTTAATGATAATCACATTAAATGTAAATGGATGAAACTGTCTGATTAAAAAGCAGAGCCTGACAGTTGGCTAGACAGATAAAAGTTTACAAGAAACAAGGAATATTATAGCTTGATAAATATTATATCTTGATAAAAATTTTGTTACAGCAAGGGGATATGACCATTATGAACATATACTACCCACAGCACCAAAATATATGAAGGAACAATTGATAGAATTGAAATGAGAAATAGATAGTTCTATAATAATATTTGAAGACTTCATGATTCCACTTTCAGTAATGGCTAGAACAACCAGACAAAGGAACAATGAAGACATACAGGTCTTAAACAGTACTGCAAACCAATTCGACCTAAAAGACCTGCAGAGAACGCCTCCTAACAATAGCAGAGTATGTGTTCTTCTCAAGTGTGTGTGGAACATTTTTCTGGATAGCTCATGTGATAGGCCACAAAACAAGTTAGTAAGTTTGAAAAGATCGAAATCATGCAAAGTTCCTTTTGTAAACACAATGGAACGAAACTAGAAATCAACAACAGAAGGAAAATGGGAAAATTCACAAATACATAGAAATTAAACGGCCCACTGTTAAACATTCAGTGAGCAAAAAAGAAATCACAGGGGGAAATTAGAATTGAAACAAATGAAAAGAAAACATGCAAAACATAAGTGTTTTGTAACATACCAAAACCTATGGCATGCAGCAGAAGCAATGCTGAGTGGGAAATTTATAACTGTAAATGCATACCTTAAAGAAAAAATAAATAAATACTTGAAGTCAGTATCCCAACTGTACACGTCAAGGAACTAAAAATGGAGAAGTAAAAATAAATGTCATCTTCAAAGAGTAAAGATTTCCCCGAGAAGTCCACTAATCGTAAAGGAAAATTATACATTGGATTATATAGAAATTAATACTTGTAATCATAAAAAGACACTCTACCTGTTGACAAAGATGTGTAACGTGGAAAACTACAATGCTGGTATGAATACGATTTGTTACAATTATAGAATCAGAAAATAATTAGGTGTCATTTGGTAAAATTGACAATAACCGTTACTGTGGCCTAATCATTCATTCCAGGACAGGAGGACAGGTGCCACGAATGTCGTGAAGGCATTCATAATAGCTTCAAACTTGAAATAATACTAGTGGAAACCAATAATAGAATAGATAAATTATGGAGTAGTAAGACGAAGTGGCACTATGCTGAATTAAAAGCAAACAAGTTATCAGCAATTTCTCTCAGTTTTAATATTCGTTTGTGCTACTGTAGCATATCTATTCTGTATGTATTATTAAACAATACAAAATTAAAAAGAAGAAAATTGTGAGAGCAGTTGAGAAGATAGCATAGAAGCAACATTTCTTCTGGTAGAGGCCAGAAAATGTCGGGTTAATGCATATCATCTTTGTTTTCTGAAAGGGTTTCCTGTTGCGGTATAAAGGCCCCTCTGACCACTGGATTGGGCTCAGCAGAGAAGAAGGCCAACCATGGAAATGGATAAATGGCACTGAATGGACCAGCTGGTGAGTTCTGAAAAATATGGTGGCAATATTTGTACCATACTGTGCACATATCTAGTGTTTAAAGGAGCAAATATTTTGAATTCACTTTGCAGGAAACCAAACACAGAAACCAGTGTGTTCTCTAAAAATTTTTATTTTGCGATTAGTCATAAAGGAACAAAGTGAAAAATTGTAGACTGCAAAGGTTTTGCAACGTCCTCAAACCGCTACAAAATCTATCATAGGTGGCACAGTAGGATGGTGGTGAACTTGACTCCAGCTATGTCATTTACCAGCTCTTTCACTTTGAGCAAACTACACACTATCTTTAAGTCCGTTGCTTACTCCACAACAAAATTAGTCGTACTTGCCCAATTGATTTCACAGGGTTGATATGAGAATCAGAGATTTTGATATTTACGGTGGCACCATTTAACTTTAAATGTCATATAAATGCAAGGTAAATTACTATTTTCGTTGATCGCTGCATCAGTCTTCAACCACTTACACAGGGATTATGAGGGATGGTAATAATGTCTATTATTTATAAGATCATCATTACAATGTTTAGGACAGGTACAGTTAGCATTGTCACATTTAATCTCAACTGTGTATCTGTTGGATCTTTATATCACTAGAAGAATTTTGGATAATGTCGGAAGACTTGGAATCAGAGAGCCTCACTAAATGTTTTCTTATCTGAACATATGAGGAGGTTTTAAAAAGTTGCTTTATGATGATAAAATAGTCAGCATTGGAAATGTCACTTTATTTAGTGGAAAGAGCACTGGACCAGACGTTGGTAATTTTGAAAACTGGTTCTTACCTATTAGCTTTTTTTTTTTTTTCAATATATGAAATTTATTGTCAAATTGGTTTCCATACAACACCCAGTGCTCATCCCAAAAGGTGCCCTCCTCAATACCCATCACCCACCCTCCCTTCCCTCCCACCCCCCATCAACCCTCAGTTTGTTCTCAGTTTTTAAGAGTCTCTCCTATTAGCTTTTTGATCTTGGACAGACACTAAGTTTTAGGAATTAGAGCTTATACTTATACACTGTTGTATCTGCAGTGCCTAGCCCATTGTGGATGCTTGATGAATATTTAGGATTGACCTTTACTTCTCCCTTTATAATAGTGAAACGGTAATGTTTACTTCATCTAATTCTCTAGTGTTTAAGGAGCAAATATAGTGCTAACTGTTCAGTCATTGAAAATGGTTCATCACCATAGAAGTGAAAAATATATTTATTAAGGGCTAGCGTGTCTTAACAAAAGGCAAATCATGTCACCCTGAGCAATTTCAAACAGTACAGGGGAAAAACTTCTAGTCTAAATGCTGACCCAGATGTCTGAGCCAGGCTGCTTAAATGCTGAGTAGACAAGCATTCTGTCTCCTCTTTCCCAAAGGGAAGAAGGTGGGAATAGCATGGACCCTGTGTTGTCACTGATTTAGTTATGAATCCTCGTTTCATTTGTTATAGAATCCTGGGAAATTCTGTGAATTTTGCTTGTTGGCTTGTTGTGTGTGTGTGTGTGTGTGTGTGTGTGTGTGTGTGTGTGTTTTTCCCCCCCGGCCTGTAAAAAGAGATGATCGGTATCTCTCAGGGCAATCTTTAATATCGAAGAGAGAATACGGGGCAATGCACCTTATATTTTGGAGGCTGAATTAATGTTAGTTTCCTGATTTTCTCATCTGTGTTCCCTGTGCTTTTGAAGAACTATCCGGCGGCCAACTGAGCGACTCTGCTTTTTCATTGCAGTTTTCCTATCAGAGGAGGAGGCGAGTGTGCCTATTTGAATGACAACGGTGCCAGTAGTGCTAGGCACTACACGGAGAGAAAGTGGATCTGTGCCAAAGAGGACACATACACCAAGATCAGGAGGCAAAATGCAACGTAACTCTTCCCTTGTGAATTGCACTCCTTCCCGAACGTGTCTTAGCTCTGACAGTGTGGAGCCTGCTGCGGATTCTCTCTCTTGCTCCCCATCAAAAAGAAACATTATAAAAAATGAGCACCTGGCTGGGGCGCCTAGGTGGCGCAGTCGTTAAACCTCCGACTTCAGCCAGGTCACGATCTCGCGGTCCGTGAGTTTGAGCCCCGCGTCGGGCTCTGGGCTGATGGCTCGGAGCCTGGAGCCTGTTTCCGATTCTGTGTTTCCCTCTCTCTCTGCCCCTCCCCCGTTCATGCTCTGTCTCTCTCTGTCCCAAAAATAAATAAACGTTGAAAAAAAAATTAAAAAAAAAAAAGAAGTAAATTACAGTGGCACCTGGGAGGCTCAGTCAGTTAAGCCTCCGACTTGATTTCGACTCAGGTCATGATCCCACGGTTCATGAGATGAATCCCGGAGTTGGGTTTTTCTGCACGGACAGCACAGAGCCTGCTTGGGATACTCTCTTTCCCTCTCTCTATGCCCTTCCTTGCTCATGTACTCGGTCTCTCTCTCTCTCTCTCCCCCAGAATAAATAAATAAACATTAAAAAAAAAAAAAGTAGAGGGGCGCCTGGGTGGCGCAGTCGGTTAAGCGTCCGACTTCAGCCAGGTCACGATCTCGCGGTCCGTGAGTTCGAGCCCCGCGTGGGGCTCTGGGCTGATGGCTCAGAGCCTGGAGCCTGTTTCCGATTCTGTGTCTCCCTCTCTCTCTGCCCCTCCCCCGTTCATGCTCTGTCTCTCTCTGTCCCAAAAATAAATAAAAAACGTTGAAAAAAAAATTAAAAAAAAAAATGAGCACCTGGAGAGACTGCTTTGTATATAATTGCTTTGTATCCAGGTGCTGTTGTGTTAATCAACTTTGTAACTTTTCTCCGAAAACCCCCAGCAATCCAAAAAGCTTTCCTTCTAGAATCCTCATTGAGAGAATAAAAGCAGTTTCTTTTGTATATAACTTCTTGGCCTGATTGCACTTTCAGAACATTCCCTAGTGTTGGCAACATAAGGTGACATTCTTTACGTGCCTTCTCACTTACGTAAAATACGAGACTGAATGAAAAGGGAAACCTCTTTTGAAAAGTCCTTGCGTACTTTACAAGTTTTAATTCTTCTTGATTGGAAGATACTCCTTAAACATCAAAACTCTCAGCATTTTTTTTCTCTTCAACCTCATTAAAATGTTAACCTTTTTTTCATTTTTATTGAGTTTTAATTTTAATTCCAGTAGAGTTAACACACAGTGTTATATTAGCTTCAGGTGTATAATACAGTGATTCAACGATTGTGTACATTACTCAGGGTTCATCATGGTAAGTATACTTCCTAAAGGAGGACACTTGTGAGGAGCACTGGCTGTTGTATGTAATTTAGTGATGAATTACTAAGTTCTTCTCCTGAAAATATTATTACACTATATGATAACTGACTAGAATTTAAATAAAAATGTGAAACAAACAAAAAAGAGATTAAAAACTGATAAATGTACTCTTAATCCCTTTCACCTATTTCACCCATGCCCCCACCTATCTCCCCTGTGCTAACCATCGGTTTGCTCTCTATAGTTAAGAGTCTGTCTCTCTTTTATCCTTTGATCATTTGTTTCATTTCTTACATTCCACATATGAGTGAAACCTACGGTATTTTCTTTCTCTCACTTCTTTTGCTTACATTATACTGTAGCCCCATCTCTGTTATTACACATGGCAAGATTTCACTCTTTTTTATGGCTGAATTGTTTTTTGAGTTTGATAACTTCATTATAGATTTTGAATACTAACCCTGTATCAGATATATTGCTTGCAAATATCTTATCCCATTCCATAGATTGCCTTTTAGTTTTGTTGATTGTTCCTTTGCTGTGGAGAAAATTTTTATCTTGACAAAATCCCAGTAGTTCATTTTTGCTGTTTACCTTGCCTCTAGAGACATGCCAAGTATTCGATGATAGATAAGTGGTTAAAGAAGAAGTGGTGTGTGTGTGTGTGTGTGTGTGTGTGTGTATAATGGAATATTACTTTATTTTTCTGATTCAGCACATTGAATATATCCCGCCACTCCTTTCTGGCATGCCAAGTTTCTGTGGATAGGTCTGCTGCAAACCTGATCTGTCTTCCCTTGTAGGTTACGAACTTTTTTTCCCTTGCTGCTTTCATGATTCTCTCCTTGCCTGAGTATTTTGTGAATTTTACCATGATATGCCTTGTTGATGCTTGGTTTTTGTTGAATCTAATGGGAGTCCTCTGTGCTTCCTGGATTTTGATGTCTGTGTCTTTCCCCAGGTTAGGAAAGCTTTCCACTATGATTTGCTCAC